TAATCAATTCGATCGAAATCTATATATTTTAATGATCTCATAAGATAGATCAGAAAAAATAAATCATATTTTAAGGAGACGATATTTTGCTTCTATTTTTAGAGAAATGAAATATCTATATATTTTTCTATAATATTGAAGATTTGATGATATATCTTGATTCCCTTCTTTCTGGCGAGAAGATGATTAATATATCTATATTTTTATAAATTCCTATATGATATCAATTAATTCTCAGATATAAATTTCCTTGATATAGATAATGAATTTTTTTATTTTTTATAAAATCTTGATATCTATAATATAGATCTATATCTGAATATTTCATTCAAGAATCTATAGGAATTATATCAAATATATCCCTAATCTTTCAATATAAGATATGATCTTTTTTCTTATCTATCTCTTATATTGACAGTTGCATAGAATAATAACATATATAAAATCTCAGATCAATCTTGATGGTTAGTATATACCAATTTTTCGAGATCACTACCTATTATTTGCCCCAGATATATTGTCTCATATTTAGAATATAAATAGAACTTCTTTTATAATATATGATATCAATATTATATATTCTGAAATATAGAATCATATATATATATATGATCTTATAGATATTCAAATTTCCCGCCTATAATTATGATATATTATTTCATAAAAAACTTCTTGATAGAATAAAGATATATTTTCAAATAAAATTATTCTCGCATATAGCATCAACAATCATGAATTGATTTAATTATATCATAAGATGCAGATAGCAGCTTGGGGCATATATTCTAGAAATTAGATTAATATTTAGATTCCCTCCTCTATTCCATGAATATATCGATTTTCTCAATTTTTCCCTAATTATTCATTCTACAACATATTCTGATATATATAACTTATATCAATAATTATTAATTACGACGGGATCAAATAAAATCAATAGAGAGAGAGAGAGAGAGATATATATATCGATTATCTTCGAAATCTTTCAATTATTCATATTCATTTTCTATTATATACATTCAATTTTATTATTATAGATAATATCTCTTATTAATTATTTAATGGAAATTTTCTTTTGAAATCTATCATAATAATCGAGCATCATTAATATGAATATCTCAGATTTCTATATATATATTCTTTTATCTCCATCATTATCTCGATATCGTAATCTATTTTCTAGAGATAAACAAGAATTATTTATGAATCATATCGATGAAGCTATAAATATTAATGATTTCTAGACTGCCATATATATGAAGAAGACAAATCTATAATCTATTAAAAATATTGAATTGAATTATATATATATATATTATATGACTATATAAATTATATTTATCCATATTTTGATTCAATAAATTAGATATGGAAAATATATGAGATAGATTTATAAAATATTAAAATTCATAAAGGTCTAATGATCCGAGCCGTATTATATAGGTCATGCTTGGAAATCAGATAGAATAGGAAAAAGGCGGGAATTTGCGAAATCAAATCGCTCAGAAATTGAGCTGCAAAATCGGGAAATCCCTTAAAAAAAAAGGGATAATCGGCAAAATCGAGATCTGAGAGCCCCCTGATCATGGGATACGGCGAGGAACATATATCTAGGCTCCCCCAGTAGTGGCATGGGATTTGCAAGCTCTGACTCGACTTCCTCTTCTATTTTTTATTTTCATAATTATAGCCTGCCATCGCTTGAGCAATCATCATAATCTCCAGAGCCAGAGCTCATAATTCTATTTCTATATAATTATAATTATGAATCGCGATCTGCGATGACTCGGAGATTGTTATATCCGAGGTTGCCGCCGCCTGCTGCCAAATCGACTGAGCTAGAGCCGGGATCCGACCGATATAAGAGTTATTATATTTTCGACGCAATTCATCTCCGCGCGAATATATCGTCCCGTCGGCATCTCCAAAAAATTGCTAATATTATAATATCAATTCAAATAAATAGCTATTCATTATGATTTCTTTTTCTATTCTAATTTTCTATTCATATATATCGAGATATTATCGAAAACTTCTTTCGATACGTATAAGTCCATCAATAAATGAAACCTTCAATTAAAGCTCTCGCATTAATAAATGAGAATATTGAAAATCTATCCTATTTTCTATATCTCGATATTAGACTTCAGAATAGTTTGAATTATTCCTTATAATTCGAAGATCTATCGAATATAATATATCATTATTAATATCATAAGAATCCCGAGAAAATATCTAAGCCTCCTAATCAAAGAAAGACAAAAGAATATTATATTTTTCTATAAAGAAAATCTTATTATCTTTATAAAATTATTCTTCTAACTAACTTCTCAATTCTAAATCATTTATTCAATATGAAATTAATATAAGATGAAATTAAAGAATTTTTTTATAATAATATAATCTTCCTATCCTAGATATTTCTAATTATTAATTTATCTTTTATATGGTTGGGCATATCTTCAAGTAAAAATATATTGCCTCTAAACTTCCGAACAAAGAAGCCATACCTAGTATACAAATATATATAAGAATTAATTAATATCTTGATATTCCTATTAGATTCGAATCATTGAAATAAATATAATAATACGAATTCTCGATACGAACATATCAATATTTTTTTAGTCTTATATGCTTTCCATTAAATTCAGAGATTACTGAACTGAGAAAAGATATGAATATCTAACAATGAGAATATCCATCTTGAATTTTTAGATATTATGTGAGAGTGAGAGAGAGAGAGAGAGAGAGCGATATCCTTTCAAGGATTTATTCGACCCGAAGATTGCAGTTGGAGCAGAATCCTGCCACACACGCACAGCAACACTTGATTTCTTCTCCTTCTTTTTTTTTGAATCCGTACTGATTAGGTTTAGGTTTCTTCTCCTTCGGAGCTGTGAAAAAACACTTAAAAGTTGAAAAGGCGGGTCTGACTTGATATGCCGAAAAAAGGGGGTCGACTGGGTTGAAAAGCCACGAGCCTATTGACCAGGGCTGATGGCCCGAGGCTACCCGTACCCTCTCGGCAAAAATAGAAGCACTTAAAGCTCCGCACACGAGTGGTAGGAGCAAGCCGCTTGTGAAACGCGACTCGGAAGCATCCTGGCTTCTCAAAGCCATTTGCGGCTTTCTGCCTATGTCCTATGTGGAGAAGGATTTATTGTCTATAGCTTCACTTCTATCAGTGGCCCTGGCCCTTCGGCCTCTGCTGCGGCACGGTGCAAGGCGAAGGTGTGACCGGGAGGAATTCCAGCATCTCCGGCCTCTCGCGAAGTTCAATGGGAGTTCGGAGGCTCCCCCATTTAGGGTTTCAATCTAGCGTCCTTGCCGGCACCCTCTATGAAACTCATGCGCACAATGATGGAATCCTAAGCTTTGGAGGCGGAAAATGACATCAACCCGCAGGTTGAAGCCTTCTTCTCGACATCGTGTGGTTGAGGCTCCGCGGCATGGGATGAAGACGGACCTCACCCGTAGCACGTTTCTGCAAACCATCATCTCAACTCCACTGCCAACACAGCACGCGCAAGGGGGAGGGTATGACTCTTTCCGGATAGGAATGCAGGCCCTCGGCCTGCTTCTTTATGATCTGGTTTGTCAGGTGCTGGAACTTGCTCTCCAGATCGCCAGAAAAGGGCGATGTCCAGGATGACCTCGCGGAACTTGATTCGTGAAGGCACCCCCACGATCCCTTTAGAACTGCTCAGCAATACCGGGGCAAGGCTAAAGCTGGAGCTCCTGGACAAGCTCTGCTTTAGGCTTTGCAATTCCTCCTGTCTTGCGATGCAAGAGCAGATCCTGATGGCACAAAGCTGCAGCCGAGATACGAGAGCGCAAAAGGGCACGGAAGGCAGCAAACTCGTGCTGTCTGTGACCTGGCGCAGCTGTTGAGGCAAAATATTTCGTCTCTGCGGGGTGTCTTCACCATGTTGCATGACCTGTGGAGCTTCATGTCATGCAGCTTGGCTTCAGCGAATGTCTGCACCGACACCCTCAATCCAGCGCAGCACCGGCATGATGTGCTGTGTCTGTTTCACTTGGTGCTTGTCGGGAAAGAGAGAGACAGAGAGAGAATGTGGCCTGGTACACAACGCGAAACGCCAGCCAGAGAACCAACGCAATGACGAGCATCACGACAGTCTTCAGGGGGGCTAACCAGTGCAAGGCTTCGGTTTAGCGAGCAAATGGAAGTCGCTGCCGGTCTTGCAGCAGCTAGTGTGTTGCAACTCCACGTGCAAGTAAAGGCTCGTAGAATAATTTGAACAAGAGCTCAGATAAGCTGGAACATAGCAGTAATCACCGTTATAACCTGCCTTATAACCCATTCATGTTGGCCTTGGCTGGTGGTGTACTGGTTCATGAATCCTTAAACCTGAAGGCAGCTCCTTGCAAAAGCCACGGAAGCCCATTCCCGATCCGCGACATAGGCTCAATCGGCCTGCACCGTTGTCAGTACAACACGCCAGATTCTGTCTGCCAGTGGCAGCAAGGCTTTCCACATCATCGTGCAGATGCGCATCCTGACTTTTGACTTGGGGGTTTGGGTGCTGGCATGTCCTGGCATCTAGCAGCCCGAGCTTAGACGCAAGTCTTATACGACGTGTACGAGTAGTACAAACATGTACAAACAGGCAAGGCTTCGCCTTCAACGTGCCAAGACATCATGTAAACCTCCAAGCCTCACTCTGGCCTCACTTAATTTCCCCACGACCACCGAGCGGCATTGCCAGCTGCAGAAGAGCGTGGTAACCCCACAGCATCATGCCACGGAGCCACCACAAAAAGAATGCAATGCCAGTCTTCTCTCCTTCAACGGCCCAGAGCTGTTCATTCCGTGCATGGACGCACAGAAACGCACATGTGAACCCGAAGGCACAAAGTGTCGAATCCTCATGCAAAGACTCGATGGCACTCCTCATAGTCAGATCTGATTCTGCAGTCGTCTCTTTTTGTCGGATGGGACTTGCTCGGGTTGGAGTTCCGTTTTAACTTCATTGTAGCCGGCCGTTCTTTCACGTGAGGCTAGGGATCCCCGGTTGCTCTTGGAGAAGGCTCCCGAGCTTCAGAAATCATGAACTCGGAGACTGCTCTACAGGGCTTGGAGACTTTGGAGTGTGCTAGGGGAGGAGAGCTTGGTATCTGTCGGGGACATCACTGGTACACATCCGATTGGCGTGATACGAGCCTGAATAGTCCGCAGCCCACCACCAGGGAATGTAGTCGATGAGCCAGGGCAAGTTGCAGGCGGCACAGGCATACAGAGCGTAACTCAAAGGCAGCGTGCTCCCACCTCAAGGCGTTTCCAACAAGGCGATGCTTCACTGCCGGCAAGGGTTCACGCCCTCCCGGGACCGAGACGATTTTGGAAGGATTCTGGCTACGATTGCCATGGCGATTCTAGGGAGCGAATCCTCCCCAACCAAGAGGCCTCGTACCCCGAATCCTCCCCAAAATCCTACCCGAAATCGTATCCACAATCATATCAGAAACGATAACAGTTCTCACTTCGCAGCTCTTTCCGCCCATGTCACTCAATATGGACGGCATCTTATCGGGACTCATCCATCCGTCGCGCTGTTACCCATGTTAGCGCTAGCTCTCGGCTAAGGGCCGGCAAAAGTGGTACCTCGTTTAATTATCGTCTCACAGCCTAGGATAGCCTAGGTGTGGCTGGGCTGTAGATGTTGGTTCGGATTGTAAGCCCGAATACATCTAGCTGAGGCTAGGTATCATTGAGAAAGCGCAGCGACATCGGGTCAACCTCGAAAACCATCTATTCGCGTTCTGGATGCAAAAGAAGATCCGTTGTGATCTGATGTCTTGCTTGGCTGGCACAGAATGCCTTCGCTTGCCGGCCTGCATGTTTGAGCACCAAAGGTGCCAGCTGCTCTCTCACCAGGGCATTGAACCTTGGGAATGAGAGCCGTTCGGGCCTGCGTGCATCATGGAAATGAACCGGAAGCTTACAGTTACTTCGTCAGGCTACGGGTCGCCGTAAGCCGTCAGGACTTCGGGCAAAATTTCCACTTAAACTGCATGCCTGGCCCTGGAACAAGACGGATGTGATTTGCGACATCGCAGAGGTGGGCTTTCACCGCGGCTGTGCCGACCTTCCTTTGGATCATCTAGTTGCTCTAGTCTGTGTGCGAGCCCGAAGGCACAAGTTCACTTCCCTACCACCCGGCTTCTGCAGATGTGCGACGAATCCAGGTGCGACTCCCCCGGTGCTTCTGGATCATGGAACCACCTGGAGCCATTAGTGCAGACTGGAGATGTAGCTGTGCACCCCTGTCAGTGGTCTGCCGATCTCCCCCTGGATGAATCCCGCTAGCACTCTTGTGCCGTAGCTGCGACTCACCGGCCTTCGAATCATCCAGTACACCTTCGGCAGGGATGCAGAAAGTCTGGAAACATGCTGCCTAACGAAAACCTTGCAAACCGCATCCCAAACTCCGCCCAATCCCAACGCGGTTGCTGCACGGGATGAAAACTTCCCCTCCTGGCAAGACCTGTCAAGATGTGTCAGTTATATATATACATATATATATATATATATACACATATCGCGATCAACACTCGGCATCTGTGGACCAACAGTTTGAGAATGGTCTGGATACGTCTTCCTTTCAAGCCGTCTCGACTCAAGCACATAAGCTGGTGACCAAAGGAGGTCTAATGGCTGTCAAGGGGCGTACTCTCGATCACACGGAATCTTTGCCCCCGTCTTTGGATGACGGTGGCTGTGTGCACAGCAGTAGCATGCGGCCTCGGGAGCAGGGAAGCTCTCAGCGAAGCTCTGCCCTTGCTGTCAAGGCATAGCCTCTGAGAGGCGAGGTGCAGGTAGGCTTCAACAGGTCTCTCTTGCTGGCGCATAGTCACTGACTGTTGCACCGCCATTCTAGAGGCACTGAATCACCCACACCTGCAGCCAGGCCACATCTTGTATCCGAAAGGCTTTCAGCTGCCCTGGCAGCTCGGCCAACCTCGATTCGAGAAAATGACTCGGCTGAGTGTGTCTGGTTCGGAGGGAAAGCACCGCTGGACAATGCGGGCAAAATTCGAGTGCAGAGAACCCTGAATAGAATGTAGCAACCTCTGGCTTGGCAAGGCTGGCAAATACTTGTCCGATCTACTGAATACTGCCAGACAGCTGTTTTTGTAGTATGTATAGATAACGTTTTAACCAGAGGCCATGCGCGGCACATCTTGCATCCTCGATCCGGGCAACTCTTTCATGAACCACAGGCCCGTGTGCACCATCGAAATGAGGAGAGCGACCACGATCACCTGCAAAACGACACAAGGCCGACCGACCGTTCCAAATCGAAACGAAGACTACGAAGACTTTAAGAACTCTACCGATCGTCACCGCTCGTAGCGCGCCCCGCTTGACGGAGAAACTTCGGTCCAAAACCCCGAACAGAACGACGATCAAGTGCATCTTTGTGCTGGAGCTGTGAAGAAGCGATTCCCGAACTGAGACCTTCTGCCTTCTGGCTCGGTGCGCCATGCACTGCACCGGTGTCGGCTCTTCTTACGTGTCTTGCTTCTCCAATTATATGCCCCGTTCTTGACTGAACCCAAAGGTCCTAGGGTCCTAGACTCCCCCAGAAAAACTGAGGTCTTCTTGACCTTGGAGTCCCAGGGGCACTGAAGACTCCCAGGCGGAAAAGCGTCAGCTGATAGGCCGTATCAGCATCATCAGCATCAACTGGCAGGCAGCACGTCTTCTGCTACTACTACTAATAATAACAACCATAAGACAATTAATGTTCTTCATAGTAGTAGCGGTAGTGGTAGTAATAGTAGTAGTAGTAGTAGTAGTAGTAGTAGTAGTAGTAGCTGCAGTAGTAGTCTTAGTAGTGGTAGTAGTGATGAAACTGAAAACAATATTTGCAATGTTGATAATGATGACAACGACCAACTACAACAATAATATGAATTATCATAACAATAGCTTACGGTAAAAACAGGTGTGGAACAACCGGCCTAGCAGGGATACCGTGCTTCCAACATGCCAAAGCAAGGATGGTACAATGTCTTGAGCTTTGACCACAGCTGAAGATATATGTCACAGCGACAAGAGAGATATGCATGACACTTGGGGATAGCCGTTTCCAAACGACTTATGGCCTGCTCAGGTCACACGTGCGCAGCGTCGATGGCAGGCACGGTCGAGAGTATGCTATGTAAGACTGTAGGTGCTTGGATACTGAGATGATGCAACAGTGCGTGGCTTGACAACGACGATGGAATCTTGCAGCACCGTGGTTGTCCGATGAGGTTCTTACTCCCCACGGCCTCCCTGATCCAGGTAAGAGACAATGGCGTGGGCAACAGCGATCGCCGCCCAGCAAGCACACCTCACTTTCATCACGCTGCCGCTGCTTGAATCCATGCAGGATGTGGCAAGGAAGCTCTGACTGGTGCAGCACCTTCAGTCTCGAGTTGTCATTGTTGACACCAAAATTACCCCTACCGACTCCGGCAGGCATGATGAAGCAATCTTTGCGAGTTGTTATCTCTCTTAAGCTGTGACACTTAGCCGTGCATAATCCAAATTTTCAACATGGAAGAAGCCCTGAAACGTACAGGGCTTTGATCATGCCCTGTTCGTCCGTCTTCCAGGCCGGCTCGACAAGGCCAGGTGCGCCGAAGGCATGGTTTTTGGCCAGCTCCCCCAAGCCTTGCACACGAAATGCCAAATAATCCAAGTCACTGCATCAGCAGAATGCCAGCCATCTTCACCTTACTTCCGATAGCCAACTATCAGATTCACATAAGAAGCCATAGCCCGATCAACTCCCATACATGTGCATGTGCAAGTGCTTGATGGAATTTTGGCTTGAGATGCTGTGCAGCAAGATGGCTACAGGGCACTAATCACCCCTCGCAGCCGCAATGGCCAAAGCCTGTGAAAGCCCTTTAGTAACTTTAGTAGCCATAAATACTCGCAGAGAAGGAGCACAGCATACTGCGTCAAACGTGCAACGCATGGCAGTTGTTGAGAAACATGTGCAAGTGATCGGCTCCGTATCTAGATCAGAGGAGCTATAACTTCATCCAAAAGTGAGTATACCATGATGGTATCATCTATTTAACAATATAACAGTGAGCAAGGGGCCGGCATGAGCTCGATCGGCTTGTTCGCATCCTGCTGCATAAACGCTGCCAACTCGTACCTCTGGAGCTGTGAGGGCCTTCTTCAACTTTAATGAAGTAGGGGTACCCAGTTTAGGGGTCTTGCAAGAAGCATCCTAGCAGTTAGTGTTCTACATGGAGGCTCGCCCTTCTCGGACCCGTGGCCGGATACTCCGGAAAGCACCGCTCCGGAACTGCCTCAAGGCTTTTTGACTGAGGCTCGTGGTTTAATCGTGTGCTTTTTTTTTGCAATCAGGGAAAGAAGTGAGTGAAGCGACAAAAAGAAAGCACACAAGCAAACCACGGAACCACCCAGAATACACCTATATCGTTCGTGATGTGTGCATTTAATAAGAGAAAACACGCACTACTTTCCACTCCGTTTGATTTTCAATTATTAGTACCACACAATACACTCACTACATCATATAATTAGGTGATGAGCCAAAAGACCCAATTTAGTTTTCTTTTAGCTCAGACTGCTTGGGCTTGCTTTTGCCAAATATGCCCNNCCCCCCCCCCCCCCCCCCACATTACGACACAATGAATCAGGAGGATCGACCTATGCCAGCGTAGTAGCATGGGGATTCTCTGAGCCAGCACCAAATAAAACTGCTAGGACAACACGCGGTGTGTAAGTAGAGCGCAGGGGTGACTTTGACTCGAGGCTTGAGGGATCCCTGGTTGCATTGATAGTGTTCAGTTCAAAGGGGTGGCAAAATGCACGACGGTTTCTCACTCAAAACCTTTGTTGCATGTCAGACCGCGTAAAGTTGTGTTGCACCAGTCGAAAGCTTGACTCTTTTCTCGTCCCAGGACCCGGCCCTTCTGCTAAACCTCCTAGGGCCTAGGTTTAGGGGTTTAGGGTCCTATGCTAAAGCAACTCGAAAGTCCTATGACCCAGGTAGAGTTAACTCGGCTCTTTCAGGCCACGCCACGTGCACCAAAGGCGGGTTGCCCAACGTGGCGTCCACAAGATCGTGAGCGTCTTCGACTTCTCTAAGAAGCCGGCTAATCCTGGATTTCGCTTCGGCTGAAGAATCTTTGGGTTTTGGGGGCGCATGTTGCGGCTGCAAGAAACGCTGTTCGAACGACCATGACATAAACCGGGTCAGATATCTGTATATCTATATAACATCGTAACATAGGCCAGTATCTGTATGTATATAAACAAATAAACAAGTCAGTACAAATGTAAATATATATGTACATGTAAATGCGTGAACAAAGATAAGAACGTAGAAACATACGTCACCAGAAAAGGAGAATAAATCAATGTGTCTGTGTATATATATACATATATCTATAGTATATACATATTACATATACATATTACATACATATTACACAACAAGTTCGGAGTCTCCGTCGGTCTCCCTTGTTGAGGGCACTGAAAACCCACATCTGTCTCTTCCTTTTGAAGCCTACAGTCAGGAAGTCGTCGCTCGCTTTAGCACGTAGCAGGCAAGGTTCTCAGTTCGGGTTTGAGAGTGCAACGCCCTGGTG